CTGCGCTGCCCGAGACGGAGCCCACGGAGCCGGGGCCGCTCGGTGAGTGCCGATCCCATCCCCCGATTCCGGGATGGCTCCGGGCGCCCTCTCCCCGCCCTGGAGCCGGGCTGTGCCCCCGAGAGGCGACAGCCAGCCCGGGGGGAGGAGCTGGCTGAGGAATTCCCGGGAATTCCCGTTTTCCCAGACTGCCGGGAGGAGCAGTACCCCTGCACCCGGCTCTACTCCGTGCACAAGCCCTGCAAGCAGTGCCTGAACGAGATCTGCTTCTACAGGTGCGTGAGGCAGGGGAAACGTTCCCTGATCCCTCTGGAGGTTTGGGGAACCCCTCTGCTTTACATCCTCATCCTTTTTTTCCCCAAAAAAATTCCAGCCTCCGCCGGGTGTACGTCATCAACAAGGAGATCTGCGTCCGCACCGTGTGCGCCCACGAGGAGCTGCTGCGAGGTGAGAGGGGCATCCCGAAAATCGGGATCATCCCCATTCAAATCACCCCTTTTCCCATAATTCTGGGGAGGGGAAAATCCCGCTGGTCCCGCAGAGACCCCCTGGACAAGAGTGGGATCGCGCTTTGGGGTGCGGCTGCTCTGGGGGGCTTCCCTCGCTGCTCTCCCGGAGTTTTTCCGACATCCTGGGACAATCCCTCACTCTCCGCAGCCGACCTGTGCCGGGACAAGTTCTCCAAGTGCGGGGTGATGGCCACGAGTGGGCTGTGCCAGACCGTGGGCGCGTCCTGCGCCCGCAGCTGCGGCGGCTGCTGAGCCCCGGGGCCGCTCCGGGACCCGGCTCTGGGACCCCGGGACCCCCCTCCGGGACTCCAGCCCCGCTCCAGGACCCCGGCCCCGGGATCCCGGCCCTGCTCCGGCCCCGCGCCCTGGAGATCCCGTGCATGAACGAGCAGCTCCCCGAAATCCCGGGATTTCTTCTTCTTTTTTTTTTTTTTTTTTTTTTTTTTTTTTTGTGCACATAATGATTAAAACGGGGGGGTTTATTATTTTTGTGCCTTTCTCTGTTCTGTGGTGGAGGGGAAGCCCCGGTCCCTGCGTCGGAGGGGCCCTGAGGCTTCCGGCTCCTTCCTCTGGGATTATTCCCAATTTGGGGGGGGGTTGTTCTGGCGATTTGAACAATTCCAGCCCTGCATATAGGGGGTACGATTTGGTCTGGGGGGTTTAGGGGGCGTTGGGGTGTAAAATGCTCGAGTTTGGAGTGGCCGTTGAGGGACATGGGGGCTCAGTTTGGGGCAGTCCCTATAAGAAGTGCAGTGTGAAAATGTTTGGGGTAAGGTCTAGGTAACTTGTGGACAATAAAGGGCTTTGGAGTTGGTTTGGGGCCAGCTTTGGGGTGCTGCCTGGTTCGCCTAATAAGAAGGGTTGTGGGGGCGTCTCGCAGTGTTTAGGGTCCCCTATAGAAAGGGGAGGAGTTGGGGTGTGCTGAGTATGGAGGAAGCAGGGTGGGGTGTAGGGGCTGGGGATTTTCTGCCGCTTTGTAGGAAATTGTGTAGGGCAGCTCTAGGATATAGGGACAGCTCAGATATAGGGACAGCTCAGATACAGGGACAGCTCTGGGATATAGGATGTACCTCTTGTCTGTAGTGTGTGTCTCATATACAGTGGGTGTGTCCTGTCTATAGGGTGCAGCTTTAGTCTGCAACCTTTCTCTTGTCTGTAGGGTGCAGAGCTGGTCTGTAGGGTGCTGCCCCCTTTTACAGGGTACAGCTCTTATTCAAGGAAGTATCTCAGTTATAGAGTCTATTTCCCAACTATAGGATGAATTTTCCACCTATAGGGTGAATTTCCCCTCTATAGGATGAATTTTCTCCAAAAGCTTCTCTCTCATCTATAGGATGAAGCTTTATCATCATCATTATTTGCTATTTATTACTATTCCTTCTCCTTTGCTCTTCATTGTTATTAATTATTATTATTGGGTTTTGATTATTGTTTATTTCTATTTCTTATTAATTATTCTTATTATTGTTATTTAGGGACATAATTCAACTCAGCCCAAATTTGGGCCTTCCCAAAATGCCAACTTCTCCCCAAAAAAATCCCCTCAGAACTCCCAGTTTAGATTTTCCACATTTATTCCAACCGGGAATGAGGGGGAGTTGGAGCCAGCACCTCCCTTCCCATGGCTTTCCCAACCTGGAGCACCAATTCGCAAAAATTCCATACAAAAACCCCTCTAGTTCCTAAAAAAATCCTTCAAAAACACAAATTCAGGGATTTTTTTAGTTAGGAAAAAGGGAAAGATTAGGATGGGATAAGGGCAAGGCTTGGAAGGCTGGAGGGGGATAAATCAGTTGGGTTTTCTTGGGCTAAAAAAAAGGAAATATTCCCCATTTTTTCGTTAGAAACTGCAACAGGAAAATGGAGAAATCATCCATGAGGTCCCAAATTGTACCAAAAATGGAGAAATTTTGCCAGCTGGTGGGAAAAGTGCAGCCTTTCCCTGGAGAAAAGGGAATAAGGAGAAGGCAAAAATCGCTGTGGGTTTGGAGCACAGGGATGGGGATGGGGATGGGGATGGGGTTGGGGATGGGAATGGGAATGGGGATGGGGGTGGGGATGGGAATGGGGATGGGGATGGGAATGGGGATGGGGATGGGAATGGATCCTCCCATCCATGAGCTGTGCCGGGCTCTGCTGTGGATTTTGCGATGGGGCTGGATCCCCTCAGCGCTGAGTGGAGCTGTGCCGGTCCCAGCGGATGCCCCGGAATTCCCTAAGTTCCGGTGGGGTGTCGCTGCAGCTCCTGCTCCTTGAGCAGCGCGATCTGCACGAGGGAAGGAAGGGGAGGTTGTGGGGTCGGGCCGTGTCCCCGGACCGTGTCCCCGTGTCCCCCCGAGTCGTGTCCCCGGGCCGCGTCCCCGTGTCCCCCCGAGCCGTGTCCCCGTCGCCCCTCGGGCTGTTCCCGTGTCCCCCCGGGCTGTCCCCATGTCCCCAGGCCGTGTCCCCTCACCTGCTCCTCCAGGCCGCCGCGGCCGAGCCGGAGCCGCTCGAGCTCTCGCTGCAGCTCCGCGGGCGCCTCGGGGAGCGGCCGGGCCCGGAGCTCCAGCGCCGACACCTGCGCCTGGCGGGGAGGGGTGCCCGGCACCCAGAACTGGGCACTGCCTGCGCCGGGCACCCCGACAGCAGCCCAGGGCCAGCGCAAACATCGCCATTCCCGCTGGGATGGGCCCAGCCCCATCCCAGTACCAGCACTGGGACCATTCCCATGGACATGAGCCCGGCCCCATCCGAGTACCAGCACTGGGACCATTCCCATTGGGGTGGGCCCAGCCCTATCCCAGTAGCAGCGCCGGGCTCATTCCCATCAGGATGAGCTCCCAAAGGACCAGCCCCATCCCATGGATCGGGACCAGCCCCAGCCCCAATCCTGTGAACTGAGACTAGCCCCAACCCCATCCCACGGATCAGGAACAGCCCCATCCCGTGGATCAGGATCAGCCCCATCCTATGGATCAGGACCAGCCCCAGCCCATGGATCGGGACCAACCCAGCGCAGGGACCCACCCGCAGCACCTGGATTCGCTTCCGAGCCTCCTCCAGCTCCTGCTCGGCCGAGCCCGCCGGGAGATCCAGCCTTGCTGGGAGCCGCGCGGATCCAGCCCGGCCAGGAGGCTCCTGCTCCTGCCCGGACACACAAATAAATATTTATTAAATTGTGTACAATAGATATAAAAACATAGATAAACTCAAAAATGCATTAGAGTAAAATATATATATTTAAATATATATATTTAAATATATATATTATCTGATATAGATATATTAGATAGTATCAGATAATTAGATATGATAATATAGATATGAGATGATAATTAGATCATTAATTAGCCCATAAAGGTGCAGGACTCCATGGGGGATGCGAATTTGGAGTGCGGCTCCCCTCACCTCCTGCTGCCGGTCCTGGGAGGGCTCTGGCAGCATTCCCTGTTCCAGAGGCATCCCCGGCTCCCGCAGCATTCCCAGCTCCCGCTGCTCCCGCAGCTGCTCCCGCAGCACTCCCTTCTCTCGCCGCGCCTCCGCCAGAGCCCGCCGCGCTTCCTCCAGCCCCTCCTGGGACACCGGGGGGACAGCGGGACAGCACCGTGACACCCCGGGACAGCCCCGTGACATCCGCGGGACAGCCCCGGGACACCAGGAACTGGCAGAGGGCTCAGGGGGACTGGGAATGGGTCCAGGGAGAACTGGGACAGGATTCAGGGGAACTGGGGGAGCTGGGAATGGGTTCAGGGGTAACTGGAAGGGGGTTTGGGGGCAACTGCGGGTACTGGGAAAAGGGTTCAGGGAAACTGGGGGAGCTGGGAGGGGGTTTAGGGAGAACGTAGAGGACTGGGAGATGGTTCACAGAGAATGAGGGGACTGAGAAGGGGCTCGGGAGGAGCTGGGGGGGACTGGGAGGGGTCTCGGAAGGAACTGGGGGCACTGGGAGGGGTTCCGATCCCACCTGGAGCAGCCTCCGGTCCGTCTCGCCGGCGGCCAGAGCGTTCTGGAGCTGCAGGAGCCGCTCGTGGAGCAGGGACCCGCCCGGAGCTTCCCCCTTGGAGCCGCTCCCCGGGAACGGCCCCGAGCCGGACTCGGCCTGAGCCAGCTGTGCTCGGGAATGATAGGGAGAGTGGGGGAACTGGGGGGACTGGGGCACTGAGAGGCGGCTCCGGGGGAACTGAGGACACTGGGAAGGCGTTCAGGGAAACTGGGAGAAGTGGGAGGGGGTTCAGGGAAAACTGAGAAGGGATTTAGGGGGACCTGTGGGACTGGGAAAGGGCTCAGGGGAAACTGGGAGGAGGTTCAGGGGAAAATAGCGGAACTGGGAAGGAGATTCGGGGAGAATTAGGGGACTGAGAGGGGTTTTGGGGAAACTGGGGACAAGTGGGAGGGGATCCAGGGAAAACTCGGGAACTGGGAGTGGGCTCAGGGAGAACTGGGAGTTCGGGAGGAATTGTGGGCAACACAAGGTGTTCAGGGGGAACTGGGAGTGGGTTCAGTGGGAACTGTGGGACTGGGAAGTGCCTCAGGAGGCACTGGGAGGGCGCTCGGGGGGGAACTGTGGCACTGGGTCAATGAAAATCCAATTCAGCCGCTGGAACTGGGCGGGACCGGTGCCGGTACCTGCGTGCGGAGCTGCTCCGCTCGCTGCCGCGCCTCCCGCGCCTCCGCGTCCCGCTCGGCCAGAGCCCGCCGGGCCCGGCCCAGCTCAGCCTCCAGCGCCCGCCGCTGCAGCTCCAGGCGGCAGCTGCGGCTCTCGCACACCTCCAGCCTCTGCTGCGCCTCCTCCAGCTCACCCAGCTTCTCCTGCAGCCGCCGGAATGTGGGCGTGGAGCCGGGATGTGCCGGGCACGCAGCCGTGCCCATCTGGACTGCCCGGCATTCCCACCTGGCACACCGCCATTCCCACCTGGCACACCCACCACTCCCATCTGTTTTTCCCCCATTCCCCCCATCTTTCTCCCCATTCCCCCCCGTTGCCCCCATTCCCCCTGTTTTCACCCATTTCCCCGTTTTCCCCCATTCCCCCTGTTTTCCCCCATTCCCCCCCGTTTCTCCCGTTCCCACCTGCGCTGCCCGGCGCTCTCTCTCTGCGGTGCGCAGCCGGTCCCGCAGTTCCCGGCATTCCCGCTGGGAATTCCGCAGGCTCTCGTCCCGCAGCAGCCGCGAGGCGCGGGCAGCGCTCAGCTCCCGCCGGCCTGCGGGGACACGGGCAGGGAGAGGGGATTTGTGGGGTTCCTGGGGCTGCAAAGGGGGTTCCCAGGGTGTATGGGGGATGGAAGGGGGCATTACTGGGGTTTATGGAGGATGCAATGGGGTTTCTGGGGTTTAAGGGAATTGCAGAGGGGTTTATTGGAGTTTCTCGGGGATGTTGGGGGGTTACTGGGGCTTATTGGGGTTTGTGGGGGACGCAGGGGGGGGTTTATTGGGGTTTATGGGGATTGCAGAGGGATTTACGGGGCATGCTGGGGGTTACTGGGGTTTTAGGGGCGGCAGAGCAGTTTACTGGGGTTTATGGGGGATGCAGGGGGGTTACTGAGATTTATGGGGTTCTGCTGGGGTTTAGGGGGATGGAAAGGGGGTTACAGGGATTTATGTGGGTGCAATGGGGGATTTTGGGGGTGCAGAGTGGTTAACAGAGGATGCAGAGGGGTTATTGGGGTTTACGGGAGATGCAGAGGGGTTTTACCAGGATTTATAGGGGATGCAGAGGGGTTTTACCCATTTTATTGGGACTTAACAGAGTTTGCACCGGGAGGTTCCCAGTTTTACTGGGGTTTCTGGGAGATTCAGGGGTGTTGTATCCACTTTATTAGGATTTATGGCGTTTGCTCAGGGCATTTCCCAGTTTTCCTGGGGTGGTTGTGGGATGCAGAGGGGTTTTCCCAGTTTTATTGAGGTTTTATTGGAGTTTATGGGGGACAAACTGGGAGGGGTTACCGGGTTTACTGGGGTTTAAGAGGGATGCACAGGGGGTTTACCCCTTGGTTGAGTTTTTTGGAGACTGCACAGGGAGTTTACTGGCTTCACTGTGATTTACATGGGATCTGTAGGGGAGTTCACCGGTTTTACTGCAGTTTATGGGGAATTTTTTAATGGGTTATTTATTATTATTATTATTATTATTATTATTATTATTATTATTATTATTATTATTATTATTTTCTAATGTTTTGTTTGGTCTTTAATTTTATTGGGATTTATGTAGCTTTCAGAGTTTTTTCAGCTGTTTTATGGGAGTTTACAGGAAATACACAGGGAATTTACCAGCTTTACTGGGATTTATGTGGGATGCAGACAGGTTCTGCCCCACTTTATTGGGATTTACGGAGTTTGGACAGGGGGTTTTACCAGTCTTACTGTGTTTTGTGGAGTTTATCAGTTTAACCGGTATTTACATGGGATCCACAGGGGAGTTCACCAGTTTTAGTGATGTTTATGGGCATCCATGAGGGTTTTACCAGTTTTACTGGGATTTATGGGGAATGCAGAGGGCTTTTACTGGGATTTGTGGGGGATGCAGAAGGATTTTACACATTTTATTTGGTTTAGGATATATGGAAGTTTTTACAACTTGTACTGGGGTTTAAAGGAGGTACAGAAGAGTTTTACTGGGGTTTATTGGGCTTTATGAGGTTTCCCACCAGGATTTTGGACGAAATCCCGGGGAGCATCCTCTGGTCCGGGCAGCACACCTCCCTCCCCGTGCCTCAGTTTCCCTCCGAGCTCCCACTCACAGTGCAGGCTCCAACAGCCGCCAAACCACCCCGAACCCCACAGATTCCACCAAAACCGTATCACCTTGCTCGCTCTCGTCCAGCAGCTTCTGGAGCTGCTGTGCCCGGGCACCGGCGCTGTCCCGCTCCGCCTCCGCCTCCGCCAGGCGCCGGCCCAGGCTGCCCAGCTGCCCACGGAGCTCCTCCTGCCGGGAACACGGGCTGGGAAAGGGCCGGGAAGGGCCTTTTTGGGCTAACAGGGACGAGGGGGACGGGGAGACGCACCCGCTCCCGCTGCGCGTCCTGCAGCTCCCGCAGGAATTCCCGCAGCGCCGCCCGCAGGGCCTCGGGATCGGCGTCGGGATCCGGGAGCGAGCCGGGGCTGCCCGGCCCCTCCGGGCCACCCCCTGCGGGGGACAAGCGCGGTGGCATGGGGACAGCAGCCGGGGGAGAGGGGATGGAGAAGCGGGGGACACCAGGGGTGCAGGGGATGGAAAAATGGGGGGGTCCCAGGGATGGAGGGGATGGAATAGCGGGGTTTGGGAGATCCCAGGTATACAGGGGATAGAATAACAGGGTTTGAGTAACCCCCGGGATACAGGGGATGGAATAATGGGGGGGTCCCAGGGATGCACGGGATGGAATAACAGGGTTTGGGAGACCCCAGTACGTATGGAATGGAGCAATGGGAGATCCCAGGGATGCAGGGGATGGAATAACAGAGTTTGAGTGACCCCCGGGAATACAGGGGCTGGAGCACCGGTGTGTTGGAGACCCCCAGGGCTGGATCAATGGGGTGATACCTCCCTTCCCCTCAGCCCCATTCGGAGCCCCAGTACCCCGGGGCCGCTCACCCTTGGCCCTGGCGACGGCCACGGTGCGGCGCAGGGTGGCCTGGAGGCCGCCCAGGCGGGACTCAGTGGCCCTGCGCTGTTCCTCGCCCCGGGCCAGCTCCGCCTCCAGCCCCTGGGCCCGGCCCTGAGCCGCGCTCAGCCGCAGCCCCAGTTCGGCCACCTCGGCCCGCGCCGCCTCCACCTTGAGCTGCAGATTCCGCGCGTCCGCCAGCAGCTTCTTCTCATTGCCCCGCGCCTCCTCCAGGCTGCGGGACAGCTCCTGCTCCCGCCGCCCGAACTCCTGCTCCGCCGCCGCCAGGCGCTGCTGCAGCTGCTGCAGCTGCCGGAGGGGCCAGGGAGGAGTGAGGAGAGCGGGGATGGTGGGGTGGGAGGGATGGGCAAGGGGGGAGGAAAGGGGAGGGATGGGGAACGGGGGGATGAGGGATGGAGCAATGGGAACACCAAGGGACACAGGATACCACGGTGATGGCGATGACTGGGGACAACAGGCACCAAGCCTGAGGGGACAGGGACACACCTCCAGACACACGGGAAAGCCAGCTATGAAGGGACAGGGACACTTCGGGATGGGAGACACCCACAGCGAGATCTTGGGGACCCTTGGGGACACCCTCACCTCCTTCCTGGCAGCCTCGGTGCCGGCCTCGCTCTCCGCCACCTTCTGCCTGAGGCCGGAGGCTTCGCGGCGGCTCCGCTGCTCCCGCTGCTCCTCCAGGGCCACCCGCGCCTGCAGCTCCCCGAGCTCCCGGCCCCGCCGGCTGTTCTCGCTGTCTAGCTCCTTCACCTGCCCACGAGGGACACCCGCGATGGTCGGGGAGGCTCTGTGCCACCCCGCTGTTCCCTCTGTCCCCACTGTCCCTGACCTGGCGGCGCAGCTCCTGCAGCTCCCGGCGGCTCTCGAGGCGGGCGCGTTCCAGCCCCCGCAGCGCTGCCCGCAGCTCCGACACCTCCCGCTCGGCCGCCGCCCGCGCCGCCTCCAGCAGCGCCAGCCGCTGCTCTTTGTCCTCCCCGGAGCGCTTCAGGCTGCGGGGAGCCGGGGCTGGCAACACCCTGGGGGTGCCAGCATGCCCCCGGCCCACAGCTGTGCCCCAGCTGTGCTCATCCCGGGTGTCTCCCCAGCCCCACATTTCCATCACCTTGTCCTGAGTGTTCTCCTCATCTGGAGCATCGCCTCATCCCAACCTGAGCACCCCTGTGTCCCAACGGCATCCCCACCCCAAGCACCGCCCTCCAGGGTGGGGGGTCACTCACCCCTGTAATTCCCAGCTCCTGCTTGCCCTCATCCCGAGCATCTCCCAGCTCCTGCATCTCCCAGCCTGTGCTTCCCTCATCTCGAGCATCTCTAGACTCCTGCATCTCCCAGCTCCCACATCTCCCAAACCCTGCTTTCCCTCATCCCAAGCATTTCCTAACTCCTGCATCTCCCAACTCCTGCATGTCCCAATTCGTGCAGCCCCTTGTCCCACCCATCACTCCGACTCCTGCATCTCCCAGCTTGGACATTCCCTTACCCTAAGCATCGCTACAACCCTGAGCATCCCCTCCAAGGTGCTGCTCCCGCGCCCTGCACCTCCCGGCAGGGATGGGGTGAGGGTATCCCGCATTCCCGACCTGATGCGCTCTCCCTCGGCGCGCCGCAGGGCCGCCCGCAGCTCCTCGTTGGAGCGCTGCAGCATCTCCTTCTCTCGGGCCACATCGTCCAGGGCCCGGCGCGCCTCCTGCGCCCGCCGCTGCTCTGTGTCGCGGCCCTCGCGGCTGTCCCGGGCCTCTCGCTGCGCCTCCAGCAGCTCCCGCCGCGCCGCCGCCCGCGCCTCTGCCTCCGCCCGCAGCTGCGCCCGCGCCTCCTCCGCCTGCCCGCAGGTGGAACTCAGGGGGATTGGGGGATTTTAGGGGGACGGGAAGGGGATTTTTTTGGGGGGCTCACCTCCCGCAGGGCACTGTCCCGCTGCTTGGCCGCCGCTGCCGCTTGATCCCGGAGCGCCCGAGCCTCCCGCTCGTGGCTCAGCGCCGCCTCCTCCGCCCGCACCCGCAGCGAGCGCAGCTCCGCGGCCAAGCCCTGCGGGGACACCGCACCCTGGGACCCCCCCTCCCTTCGGGATCCCCGGGGAGGCACGGCCGGGGAGGGGTCCCGGAGAGGGGGGGCAATGGGGATGGATCCCGGAGAGAGGGGGGCAGTGGGGATGGGGTCCCAGAAAGGGGGCACAGAGAGGATGGGGTCCCTTGGAAAGGGAGGAGGCAATGGGAATGGGGTCCCAGAAAGAGGGGGGCAGTGAAGGTGGTTCAGGGATGGGGTGAGGGGGCTCAGGTACCACAGATGAGCCCCAATGCCAGGGGAGATGGGGGTGAAGTTGAGGGGCTTGGAATGGTGGGGAGAAGGCTCAAGCAGGGAGGTGCAATGGGGGGGGGCATGGGGGATACCCAGGAATGGGGGGGGCTGCCATTGGGGGATACTCAGGAACGGGGGGCTGCAATGGGGGGCCCACAGAGGGGCCATGGGGGGCTGTAACAGGGGGGCCGTAACAGGGGGGCCACAGGAGATTTCAGACAGCAGGGGCTGCAGGGGGGGATGCCCAGGAACTAGGGGGGAACACCCAGGCATGAGTGGCTGCACTAGGAGGGGACACTTTGGCAGTGGGGGGAGACACCTGGGCACAGGGGCTCTGTGGGGCTCTGTGGGGCTCTATGGGGGTTCTGGGAGCCCCCCAGACCGACCTGCTCCTTCTCCTGGTGGCCAGTGACCTCTCGCCGCCGCTGCTCCAGCTCGGCCGTGGCCTCGTCCAGGCTCCGCTGGAGCCCTGACAGTGTCCCCGCCAGGGCCACCCGCTCCTCCTGCTGCAGCGCCAGAGCCTGGGGGGACATCGGAAGTGGCACAAGGCTGGGGGACACGGGGCTGGACAGGGACAGGGCACACGGGGGTGGCACAGGGCTGAGGGACACGGGGGTGGCACAGGGGTGGGGGGACATCAGAAGTGGCACAGAGACCGGGGCACACGGGGGTGGCACGGGGACATGGGGGCCACCACCTGCTGCTTCTCGCTTTGGCGCTGCTGTCGTGCTGCCGCCAGCTCGGCCACCAGCTCCTCGTGCTCCTGCACCAGCCGGCCCCGCTCGGCCTCCAGCTCCTCCTGCCCACCCCAAAATCACCAGAGAACCCCAAGAATCACCAGTGAACCCCAAAAATCAGCATCGCACCCCGACCATCGTCCCCCAGCAATCAGCAGGAATGTCAGAAATCACGGTTGCACCCTAAAAGTCACCACGGTGCCCTCAACAATCAACATGTGCATCAAAAATCAGTTCTGCTCCCCAAAAATCTACATTTCAATCCAAAAATTGCCCTTGAGACCCCAAACCCAACATTTCACCCCAAAACCCAACATTGCTCCCCAATAACCAACATCCTCCCCCAACAATCATCCTTAAATCCCCCCAAAATCACCATCACACCCTGAAAATCTCCACCACGACACCCCAAAATCGCACCGCCATGCCCACAAAATCACTCCAGCAGCCCCAAATCCCCGTGTCCCCCCAGCCCGTGCGCACTTTCTCCCGCTGGAGGTGCTCGAGCTGGTCCCGATGGGCATCGCGGGCGCTCTGCAGGGCCACTGTCACCGCGGCCGCCTCGGCCACCGCCACCGCCTGGCGCCGCTCCCTCAGCTCCTGCGCCCGTTCCCGCCGAGCCACGCCCAGCTCCGCTGAGGGACACGGGGACAGACATGGGGACACCCCCAGACATGGGGACAGCCCCAGTCACAGGGACACCTCAGTCATGGGGACTCCCCAGACATAGGGACATCCCCTGCCAATGAGGAAAGGTGGATGGAGTTGAGGATGAAGATGGGTATGAAGATGGGGATGGATGAGGATGAGGATGGGGATGGGGATAGAGGAGGATGAGGATGGATGAGGATGAGGATGGATGAGGATGAGAATGAAGATGGATGACGATGGGGGATGGATGGGGATGAGGATGAAGATGGGGATGAGGATGAAGATGGGGACGGGGATGAAGATGGGGATGGATGGGGATGGGGATGAAGGTGGGGATGGGGATGGATGGGGATGAGGATGAAGATGGGGATGAGGATGAAGATGGGGATGAGGATGGGGATGGGGATGGATGGGGATGAGGATACAGATGGGGATGAATGGGGATGGGGATGGATGGGGATGAGGACAAAGATGGGGATGGGGATGAAGATGGAGATGGGGATGGATGGGTATGAGGATAAAGATGGGGATGATTGGGAATGGGGATGGATGGGGATGAGGACAAAGATGGGGATGGGGATGAAGATGGAGATGGGGATGGATGGGTTGGAGCTGGGCATGGCCTGGCCAATGGGACACACAAGTGGCCAGGACCCCTCACCCTCCAGCGCCTCCTTGGCCTGGGCCAGTGTCCGGCCTTGGGCCTCCAGCTGCTGATTGCGGGTCTGGAGCTGGGCCAGCTCCTGCTGCAGCTGGAACACGCTGCTCTCCAGCCCCTCCTTCTCCGACCTGCAGAACGCCGGGCATGGGGCTGGGCACGGGGCTGGGCCCACCCTGGTACCCACCTGAGCCCAGCAGCCCCCAACCCAGTCCCCACCTGAGCCCGGCATCCTCGACCCTGCACCATCCGACCCAGCACCTACCTGAACCTGGCAACCACCTGAGCCCAGCACCCACCTGAGCCTGGCACCCACCTGCCCCACCACCCACCTGAGCCCGGCACCCACCTGAACCCAGCACCATCTAAGCCCATCCAGCACCCACCCGAGCCCAGCACCTACCTGAGCCCGGCGGCCTCGCGGTCGCGGTGACGGTCCTGGCGCTGGGCAGCCGCGAGCCTCACGGCCAGTCCGGCCCCGTCCTGGGCCAGCGCCGCCTGTGTCCGGCCCAGCCGCTCCTGCTCCGCCCGGAGCCGCTCCTGCTCCGCCCGCGCCCGCGCCAGCGCCTCGCCCGCCGCGCTCTGCTCCTGCACCGCCTGCGGGCACAGCGGTGACACCAGGGACAGCCCAGGGACCAACAGTTACACCTTACTGACCACCAGTGACAGCTCAGGGACCACCAGTGACACTTCACTGACCACCCCATGCCCCCTCCCCACCTGTCTCAGGTACACTTGACACCCTCCCAGTTATCCCCGCTACCCTCCCAGTTACTCCACGCTCCCTCTCCACCCATAGCGGCGCCCTCCCCATCCCTCCCAGTTACCCCAGCACCCTCCCAGTTGCCCTTGGCACCTTTCCCATCCTTCCCAGTTACCCCTGGCACCCTCCCAATTGCCCCCGAGGTGCCCACCTGGCCGAGGCTGTGGCGCAACCGCTCGTGGACCCCGCGCAGCTCCCGCAACTCCTCCCGCAGTCCCCGCTGGTAGTCCCGGGGGTCCCCCCGTGGCCGCTCCAGGTCCCGCCGCTCTTCCGCGGGCCGGGGGCCGCGCTCCAGGCGCGCCCGCAGCAGCGCCAGCTCCCGGCACAGCTCCCGGGTGCGCAACCGGCCCCGCTCCCGCTCCTGCTCCTGCCGCTCCAGCCGCCGGCTCAGCTCCGCCTTATCCCGGGCCAGCCCAGCCGCAAGCTCGCTCGTCTTGGCCAGCGCGTCCCGCAGCCGCGACTCCTCCGCCTCCGCTGCCCGCCGGGCCTCCGCCAGCTCCCCGCAGCTGCCCTGCGCCTGGGACCGGGGCACCGGCTGGCACCGGGCACCGGGCACGGCGGGACGGGGGCGACGGGGACTTGAGGGGCACTGGGGGCAACTGGGGTTTGGGGGCAGAGGCAGGACATGGGGGCAAATGGGGCAGGGGGGCACGGGGGGCACCTGGGGCTTGGGGAGTGCCTGGGGCAGGGGGAACACGGGGGACAATTGGGGACAGCTGGGGTATGTGGGGGCACCTGTGGAACGGGGACATGAGGGCAGCTGGGGCATGGGGCTGCCCCCACGGCAGGGCTGGTACTCTTGGGGATACATCCATGGAGATGCACCTCTACCCGCAGGGATGCACCTGTACTCGTGCCCGGTCCCACTGTGGGGCGGGTCTGGGTGCCCACCTTGCCCAGGGCCTCAGCCAGCGCCTCCTGCTCGCCCCGGGCCAGCTCCACCTCCAGCAGTGCCCGGCTCAGCGCCTCCCGCTCCTCCAGCAGCTCCCGCTGTGCCAGCGCCCGCTGCGCCTCCAGCTCCTGCACCTGCTGCTGGCTGTGCAGGGACAGTGCCCACCTGTGCCCACCTGTGCACCCACCTGTACCCACCTGAACCCTCCTGAACCCACCCGTGCCACCATGCCCACTTGTGCCCCCATGCCCACCTATGTCCACCCGTGCCACCATGCCCATTTGTGCCCCCATGCCCACCTATGTCCACCCGTGCCCCCATGCCCACCTGTGCTCCAGCTGCTGGCGGGCAGCCTGGGCGTCGCGGGCGGCCTCGTCCCGGGAATCCTGCAGCCCCTCACTGCAGCGCCGCAGCTGCTCCCGCTCCTGCTGCAGAGCCCCCGCGCGCTGCTGCTCCTCCACCAGCGCCGCCTCCGCGCGGCACAGCTCCCTGATGGACACATGGACACGGGGACATGGGGACACAGGGACAAGGGACACACGGACAAGGGCACATGGGGACACGGGGACACATGGACATGGAGACACACAGACATGGGGACACTGACACAGGGATATGGGGACATGGGGACATGGGGACAGGGACACAACGACATGGGGACCCATGGACACACGGACATGGAGACAAGGGGACATGGGGACACGGGGACACACAGACACATGGACATGGGGACACATGGACACCAGGACACATGGACACAAGGACTCACAGGGACAGACGGACACAGAGGGGCAGCCAGTGAGTGATACCGGGACAGACGGACACAGAGACACATGGACACAAGGATGCACAGGGACAGTAAAGGACATATAAGGATGCCAAGGGACACGGATGAGCCGGGATGCACGGGGACTGATGGAGACACGTGGATATAAGCACAGAACAGACCCATGGATGCAGAGGGACACAGGGACACGCAGGGACAGACAGACGGGACGGTACCTGCGCAGCCCCTCGGCCTCGGCGCGCAGCCGGAGCCCCTCCCGCTGCGCTTCCTCCTGCGCCCGCCGGCAGCTCCCGGCCTCGGCTCCCAGCTGCTCCAGCCGCTGCTCCAGCATTCCCAGCTCCCGCCGCAGGCTCCCAGCCGTCTCCCGGCTCGCCTCCATCTGGCTCTGGGCCTCCTGGGGGTCAGCCTTCATCACATCCCCATCCTCATCGCCATCCTTCCCATCCCCATTCCCATCCCATCC